ATTAATTAATAAAATAAATAAAGTAGAGAAACTTTTAAAATTTCAGTACATATCTACTAACCAAAATGGTTTTGCAAAAAAATATTGATAGTATTAATTAAGGAACCTGCTGATTGATAAAATATTCAGTAAATATTCTAAATTAAAGATGTACCTATATTTATGTAATTTTAAAATAATTTTAGTTGGTCTTATCCAAATATGGGAATTTGAATTGTTGGAGTAATTGACTCTACAGTTAGAGGTTAAACAATTTTGAATAACCTAAAATCACGTTTTGGCAAAATGGCTAGCTATTATCATCATCTATATCATTATTATTTGATTAATGTTTTAAAGAAATTTAGTTATAAGATATGATGTGTATGAAGAATAACCAGAAATTTTTAATTAATTAATCTTGCAGATTTAAAAAAATTGAATTTCTGGAATGTATTACTAATGTTTTTTTTTATAAAACTTGTCACATCAATTCTGATTATTATTTTACACTTTTATTTATACAATTTAAAATGTATTTGAAAGATTTTCTGATAAACACATAAATAGCCAAATTAAAAACAATAAAATTAACATAAATAATTTAAAAGTGAAAATTAAAGTCGCGTGTTTGAGACTTTTAAATTTAAATTTTAAGAAAACACGTTAAATTAAAGTAGATTTACATTAATAAATTACATAAATCCAAATTTACATATACTGGAAATTGGCATTATCATCGTTTCTAGTTTTTTTTTAAATATTTTTATTGTGAATTATGAAGAGAGGAGTGAGAATATGAGACAGATATGTAAAATAATTAATTACTGAAGGTTATTGAAAAGAAAGACAAAAAGATGGGAGATCTATTCGATAAAATAATAATAATATTTATTTGTTGAGAAATAATTATACCTCAATGACATAGAAAATAATAAATGTAACAATTAAATTAAGATACATACTAAATAATCAAATAATCTTTATGGCAGATTTGACAATTTATGTATACTTAATAAATAATCAACAAACAAATAAAGAAGAAACCCAAATGAGTTCATTAAAAAGATTGTATGAGCTAGTACTATTACTTATCTACCAATTAATTAATTTAATTAACCTAATTCTATATAAGTTTATATTTTCTTAGCTGAAGAAAAAAGAAAAATAAAAATATAAAAAAAAACCTAAATTAAAATTAATCAACAATATTGTGAAAAACAAATTTAGTTTCATGAGAAAATCAAAAAATTACTGTTACAATAGAGTAGGAAGAAATATCTGTTAGATACGCCACTGGAATTAACGTGTCGCCATACAGAAAGACCTCAGAACAAATTATATAAACATAAAATTGCGATGTATTGAGCAGTCAATCGATTTCAATATATACCTCGCGAACGAAGCGCCCAGGAAGTAGCGAGTTGGCTTCTTAAGGACGTCCCTCGGGAACCGTTTCAGGGCACCAGAATGGGAACTGGGGTTATTTGACGACGGTGCTGGTGCATACAAAGAGAAAAGCATAGCGTCCGTGTTAAAGTTATTACTATTACTCGGTACATGTTTATGCTTTCCTCTTTTTTCTTTTTTTTCATCGGTATAAAATCGGAAAAGATAATATAATTTAATATAGGTATACAGTAAATTTAGGAAAATTATGAATCGTAAACTTTGAACGGATGCGACTTTAGACCAGCCATACTCAACCTGCGGCCCACCAAGCTTTTTTGTGCGGCCCTCCAAGCTTTTTTGTGCAGCCCCAAAAACTATTATTAGGAAGGTGCTTCCTAAAACTAATGCTTTTTGTTTGTAAAATTTTGAGCGAAATGCGCGAAAACATTAACATTAAGCGATAAATACCATGCTAATATTTTTATTGTTTTGCATTTATGTTTTGTTTTTTATGTATTAGAGATCCTAACTAATTAACCAAGGTTGAACTACAGTCCTTTTTTGAAACAAATTGTCTTTTCAAAGCTTGATAAAACAACTAAATATTTAGAAAATATTTAAACCGGATCCATATCGTCACACATTGTCCTTTATTTACATTTCAAAAATTCAAAGAGGTGACAATTCTAGTTATCACCCAAAAATATTGCGGCCCGTGTAGCATAACAAACAGATTTTTTGTGGCCCGAAAGAAAAAAAGGTTGAGTACAGCTGTTTTAGACTCTTTAGAGCTAAACTGTTTAAAGTCAAACAAATATTTTTTAGTCAATAATGTTTGTTTTAGTCTTGGATTAGTACTGACTGTTCAAGAGTAAGGATAAAAACATAGTGGAGCAGCTCATATCGCCGCGTCGCTCGCCGTACACATCGCTGTGCACATTGCCGTGCAGGTCACCACATATAGACACTCGTCGCCTGGAAACATAACTCATAACTGATGTGTTCACGTTGCCATTGATCGCTGTCAGTGTTTCAATTTTAATATGCCGGAATGGTAATAAAAATATACACAGATTCAGACAGTGACAGTGGCTCTATAAGTAAAGCTGTAAAATGGTGGTTTTTTACAATCCCAAAGTGGGTACAGGAGGTAGAATGTGTAATACAGTAAATACAACTGCTGGCAACGGCATACAATAACAAACTACTGACTCATGGTATGGTGTTGGTTCGTAGTAGAAATGAGGCATTGAGACAACCATCACGGAACTGGTTTCAGCTTGCCGAAAAACAAATTATTTTGTTTCTCAATTTATGGCGAGCTGTGCGGCGATGTACCTGGCTGAGTGCATTTACTCCGGAATGTTTATGATTGTGCGTTCTATTGATATTGTTTAACCATTGCCATGTGGCCTAACAGCGCGGCGATATGAGCTGTTCCACTATGTTTCTCATTAATAAAATTGATGAAATACTGTTCTAAGCTATTTTAGACAGTAGTAAAAATAAGAGTTTACCCACCTATTAATAAAGCACATTGTCTTTTCTCTTGATCATTATGCAGTTCCAAATCTATGTATTATACACCTTTTAAAAAATTCGACATTATATTCCGAAAGGGAAAATACAAATAATAAATTCAATATTCCGGCTAAAAGACGCCTTGAGTCTCGAGTATATACGGATATGTAAGTCTATATTTGTAGAAAAATATTGAAATTATGTTGAAAAGTTCTCTATCCTCCACATTGTCAACAAAGACCTTTTATCCCGACGCGTTTTCTCAATAAAAAGTCGACTTTACAAATATGCCGTTTGTGAATAAAACTCAAATAAAACATTGAAAAGTGATAGAAAGAGAAAGGGCTACGTAGGGAAGGTGAACCCCAGAATGCCGATAAAGGAAAAATTTCCGGAGCAATTTAGATATGAATTTTATAGAGAGGATATACCGGATGTCTTGAAAATTAAAGTAAATTTTTAAACGAAGAAATCTTTAAGTTTAATATATCATTATTTTCTTATTGCTGTGATAAGCAACATAGTCGTCGTCAAGGGAGCAAAAGGTACAGTTGCCACAAAGAAAATGTACAAGTTTTAAAAAAATTAAGCCAAGTTTTAAAATAGCAGCTTTTCAATCAAATTATTAATAATAGCCATAAGTGATAATTTAGAGACCCGTTGTTTTTATTATTATGCAATTGTATAGTGAAAAATCGGTTTTAGAGTTCTGAAAACTTATCGGTTATAGATCCGAAAACAAACGTATCCCAGAGCGGACAGATTTGTTTTTATTTTGGGGATTCAAAAATATTTTTCATTATTTCGTTGGGGTAATTTTGTACTTTATTTGGGACTTTAAAATAAATATTATTTAATTCAATATATGTATTTATTGTTTCTAGAGAGAATACAATGTACTTAGGTAAGAAAAAAATAAATAGCCCATACTAAAAATTATAAAGTTTAATACAATAAATAATAGTTTAAAAAATCTAAAAAACACGCTTTAATAGAAAAGCAAACTAAAAAGTAGAAAATCATTTTTAGTTTTCTTTTCTATTAAAGCGTGTTTTTAGTTTTTTTAAACTATTATTTATTTTCTACAAACTTTTTTATTCAGTTTCATTTATTCAAATATACCTCCGTCCGTATATATTCATCCATATATTCAGTTTTGTTTGAATTGAATTGAATAATTCGTGCTTAACTTTTTTGAAATTGTTTGTTTATGGAAAACCGGCTCGTAAACCACTAAGGTCAAAATGCATCCGCATTTCGGGAATCATCTAAAATTCTTACGATTTCGGTAATTTCGCTGAAATCCATAATATTAGACGATTTCGCAGATATCCCCATTTTATACAACCTGTTATATCGGCGGAATCGTTTAATTATATTTCAAAAAATGTTACTAAAGGGATAACTAACTGCATCTAAAGCGAACTTGAGCTGGGTTTTTATTGAGACCAATTATATAATAATGAGTACATGGATGAATATAGGATCGAAAGATATGGTAAAAATGCACCCCCTCCCCTCAATCCCTAACATTGAATGAAATTTTATATAAAGTTACCACAGGGATAACATACGGTATCGGATTTGGAAAATCGCTAATCCTGAAGGTCCTGATCAAGGTAATGGCACAAGCTATTTAAGTTGTAACATTGTCATCGGTCCTTGATAAGTTCGCAAAGTTTCAAATCAATCCGACGTTTTGGAGGGGGTGAAAACCACGTTCAAAGATTCCGTTACATAGATATATATGAAGGGTACAGGGGAAAAACGGGCTAAGTCAATTTTTAGCAAAGTTGAGATATTGACGTCACTCGATAGAAAATACGTTAAATTTTGTTCTAAAAATATTGTCCACTGCAAGAACACGCTAAGTAAAGAGATATTAAATACGAAAAATATCCCGTACAGGAGAATAACGTGGTCGCAATTTACGCATCTCTTCGGTAGAGCTGTGGTCTAATCGTTTTTATGCCAGTGTTATTGAAGTTTTTTATTGCCAAACATTATTAGGAACATTGTTCTACCATGGTAAGTGATTTAAGTGATTGTGAGGGTGTGCAGATGGTGTCTTCTACAAAAAAAAAGGCCAAAACATGGAAGATTAATAGATGTCAATAAAAAAACTACGGTGCAAAGATGAAATTGGTGGAGAATGCTACTGCAAACATTTACAGTGCTCCAGAAAGATTCCTGTGGAGGGTAAGCAAAATATTATAAGGAGTTTCAATCTTTTAGAGTCCACTAATACACAAAACTCCCATTTATGTGGACTTATTAGTATTGTTCCAGTCAAAAATAGACGACCTCGGCTGGATGAAGCAAATGCTCGTTTAAGAGATGTTGTAGCTTTTTATAAGATTAGATATTTATATGAAAATAATTTTACGGAATTAGAGGTGTGTCGAGATGAGTTTATAGCTTTACATGGCATCACCAGACGTAGAATTGAGTATTTACTCACATCTTTGAAAAGTACTGGCATGCCTCCAACCGATAAAAGAGGAAAACTGTCTGATGATACTCGTAATAAAATGAAAGAGCATATATCATCATTTAAAGGTAGAGGCAGTCATTATAGTACCAAAGACTCTCAGAAAAAATATTTGCCTGAAGAGCTCAACATAAAAAAAATGTGGAAATGTTTTAAAAGGTACATCCCGGCAACCAAGTATCATACGAGACCTACAGAACCATTTTCACCACAGATTTTAATATAGCTTTTGGATACCCACAAACAGACACGTGCAGCACATGTGACGAGTACCTAGCTAAGTATGAAAACCAAAAACTAGATCAAACAAAAAAGGAAGACATAACAGCTGAAATAAAACAACCGACCACATCACATGGCCTGCATTTATGTAAAGCAAAATCATTTTATTCAATTAAAAAGCAATCAAAGCTTTCAAGCCGTAAATCAAACCTAAAAGAGTCAATCTGTATAGACTTCGGTAAAAATGTTCCTATTCCCAAAATGCCTACTAATGATGTATACTACAAGAGACAGTTGTCCAATTATTTGTTCAACGTTCACGTTCTATCTGACTCAAGAAGTGTCTTTTATGTATACCCAGAAACCATCGCCAAAAAAAGGTAGTGATGATGTTTCTTCTCTACTAAATCATTTTGTATATAATTATCTTAATTTAAATTTAAGACACTTGGATTTGTTTTGTGATTCCTGCGGTGGACAAAACAAGAATTACACCTTTTTCCGCTACTTGCATAATCTTGTTCATCAACAAAAAAGGTTTAATTCTGTACGAGTTACTTTCCCTATTAGAGGCCATTCTTATATGGAAAATGATAAGAATATGGGAATCATCAATCAGAAAGCCAGAGTTGAAAATGTGAAGGAATTATGTGACCTCATTCAATGTTCCAGAAAAAAACCTTCGCTCTTTGTAATGGAACATATTTCAGAAGACAATCAACACATTTTTAAAAAGTGGACCAAACACGAATAAATTCTACAAAAAAAGCTAGTTTTTCAATTCAGCCAATAAGGCAATTCAAAGTTTCAAAAGAACACCCTAGGTTAATCAAGTATAGAGACACATACAATGGGACATGGTTCTCTGCAGTTGTGATGGATAGAAAACCTAGTGTTCTCAAAAATTTGGAGAAAAACAGCCAATTTCTTCTTCCAGAAATATCTTACGCAGGTAAACCTATACTCATTATACTGTTTGTCTATTAAATTTCGCTCCAGATCCAATACCAATTTCGGCGGAAAAATTTGCCAATTTGTATAGTTTGAAAAAGTTATGTGGAAAATAAGCTCAAGATTATTTTTCCTCACTGGAAATATGAACATTTTCTAAAAAATCAACATAAAAACAATTTCCGCATGGTACAGACTTATTGTGAAATACTGTATATATATTGGACATGTTTTGATAATATTAAAAATGGGCATGCATATATGTATATCTACCTAACAAAATATTTCAATCGATACCTAAACATGAAATTAAACAACAACCGCTACTTAAATGATTGGAATGTTGGAATGTTGACGATAGCGGTCAAAAATATTTATTCTATACTATCTTAATAACTGATTGTTCTTTTCAACTTATATACAAAATAAATGCGATAACGAACGAACAAAACGAAATGATGGTTTAGAAACAGTAACCATTCCGAAACAGATAATGATGACCAAACGATTTTATGGTTTTCAAACCGGCAACTGCATTTTCTGTTGCCAACTACTCACAAAGTGACGTTTCAATGGAGTAATTTATAATCGGTTTTTTACACGTTTATTATTGTTGGATGTGTATAGGTATAGATGCAATTATGGCGCACATACCAACGTCCTTTCAAATATATATGTTGGCGAGAAAACAACTCTTCCGGGTCTGGAACGTAAAAATTGCGCGTTATGTCTAGAATTGCATTTTCCATTGTTGTTCGTTATGTAGACGGAAACTATAACAAACTAATCTGAAGAGACATTCACTGGAATATCCAGTCTAACAAAAAAAAAAGAAAAGTATGACGTTGTGCGTTATAGATAGAAAGGTGAATTTGTCAGGAGTAACGATAGATTAATCCAGTAGAAGAAAACTATAACAAACTAATCTGAAATATTCAGTTTCACCAAAAAGAAAAGTATGCATTCGTTGTGCATTAAGGGACTGAAGGGTGAAACTAATCTGAATAGACAGTGCAATATTTAGTTTCACAAAAAAATATACAAACCTAAAGAAACTTGAGAGCAAAATTGGTAAAGGTGTAGTAAACTTGAAACGACTGAATAACATTAGAGCAAAAAAACAAATTGATTTTTTTTTAATTTCATTTCATGTACAATTCTTATCGGAAGTAGGTAGAATTGGTTAGCTTAGGACCCCCAACTATGTGGCCAGGGTTGCCAGACGTCCGGCTAATGCCGGACATGTCCTTCTTTTTGGCAATTTGTTAATGTCCGGCCGGCTTTTCTTTATGACTGGCTTTTTTTCAATTTAGGAAGAATTGTAAAATATAATTTCGATGTTGTTTATAATACTGAAAAGTGCAAAATTCAACCGGCCAAACATAAATATGTAACCAATACCACCTTTGGCGATATTCTCCTCTTTTTTGTCCTTGTTTAGCTTTTTTTTTAGAAGCTCGACATTTATATATGCTTGTAGTAAATGCATATGTAAAAAACTGTCTTTTTGTGAAAAATTAGGCTTTTTGTGTACAATTGTCCTACTTTTACACATTTTTCATACGGCAACCCTATATGTGGCCCAGTATTCAGGGCCGTTCTTAGATGTGTGAAAGTTGTGCAGGCCAAACTTATAAGGGCGGTCGCAGGGCCTCGGAAAAAACAGCAAATGTAAATTTTACTTTTTGAATACATAAAAACCCGTTTTTTCTTAAGTTCGTATAAGGCGGATAAAACTAACGAAAAGGAAAAATTTTATATACATTTTTATAACCCTAGTTCATATAAGTAGAAGAAAGGTTTTGTAACAACGTTTTCAACTTTTTAAAGCAGTTTTATGGCATGAAACCCGACGATTTAAAACAAAAATGGTATTAGGAAAATTAAATGTCCTAGAAAAAAATGTAAAACTTAAGATGAAATAAATATTAAATTAAAAAAAATGAGCTGTAATTGACATTTACACAAGGCGAAACAAAGAATATAGAATAGTTCCAAGTTGATATTATTGTTCGTTTTTGAGTTAGGATTTTTTTAAATATTTCAAGCCCCTTAGCCGCCCATTTTTTATTCAAAATTTTTTTCAGAATCAATAGGCTTCATCTCCTAATAGAGCTTGATTTTTACTAAAAATTTCATGTTGATATCGCTTTTCGTTTTTGATTTGGTTCTTTTTTAATTTCGACCGCCCTTAAACCGCCCATTTTTAATCAGATTTTTTTTCGAAATCAAAGGGGTTCTTCCCCTTATAGAGGATATTTGCTAAAAAATTTGAGTTGATATCGTGTTTAGTTCTTGAGTTAGGTTTGTTTTATATTTTAACCCCCCTTAACCCCGCAATTTATTCAGATTTTTTTCAGAATCGTTAGCTTCATAATCATTATAGAGCTTGATTTTTACTAAAAATGTCATGTTGATATCGCATTTCGTTTTTAATTTATATTTGTCTAAAAGTCTAAAAATGCAAAAAAAAATGTTTGCCTAATCGTCTGTGCGTTTGTATACATTATTATGTGTCTTGAGGTTTTGACTTTATAATAATTTCTTCCAGCCGAAGACCCTATTGATTTTCAGAATTTTTGGTTTAACTTCAGTGCTTTACATATCACTGTTTTTAAAATATCTTATGAAGTTTATTTTATGCAATTCGACCAATGTACTGATTTCAGGATTTCACTAGATAGCCATGCTTGTCAACTGTGAAACGGCAGTTTTTTCTACATTGCTGACATTCTTAAACGTCGAATAAATTATTTAGTTTAGTTTTTTAAACGTAAAAAAACTGATTTAATGATGTTATCCACAAGAAAAAAATAATAGATATTGCTTTTAAAGTGTTCAGATGGGTTATCTATTATTTTTTTACGAATGGCTCTGATGATGGTATACAGTTTGTTGCTGAAAACGCCCTTTCTTACAGTTAAGTTTTTTAAGAGATTTCTACATAAATTCGTATTTATCATTAGAAGAATACGTACTATTTCTGTGTCTCTTCAAATAATAAATTATATATACCTGCCAACTAGGTATTTATTATTTTATGTGGTATTTTAATTGTATTTATTATGGTATGTTGTATTTCAATTTTATTTATTGTTTTTATTACTACTGCTATTTTTATTTATTTTTAGATCCTTAAATATTGTATTACATATTAACTATTGTATTACTAGTATTACTAAATAAATATTAAAATAAATAAAGCAGCTCATGTCAAAGTCAGCAATTTATTTATAAAATGATAAAAAATGTTCTTCTTTCTTCAAAATGAATGTTTTTTCTTTCACTATATTAAAGAAAAGGAAAAAAATAATTGTATTGGGTACTACTTTGAATATGTTAAGTCCACTCTGTATTAAATCGTTAAAATTTCGACATTTTCGAATACTTGACATCCCTATTATTCACAGCACCGTGGAAGAGAGTACATAGCCCAAGGCCTGCAGGATTTCGACCCTCTTAAAAGGGGGTGCATCAGATTCCTTCATTCATCTTCCAAGACTCGCCTGCGGCCGTACTTAGAACACTCATCAAGAGAATTTGACGGTGTATAGAAAATATTTTTAATACCCACACCCAGTTCAGGATACTTTGTTGATGAAATACGGATCTACTTGTTTTTATCTAAATACCTGTTTTTTAAAATATTCAATTACATTCAACCCTTTTAATCGAACTTCCATCGTTGTTTATTTTTCTCTTTTAAATAACCTAACAAAACTTTCCTCTTTTTATGCCATTCAGGAGAGGGCAATCCGGTTCATTTATAATTCCAACAATAATAAGCATCTCGCAGCTCTCTACTACTGTTGTCTGTCCTTGTTCTATAGATATTTCAATATTCTTTGCTCCACCAAATTTATCTCCATTTTTTCACCACTAAATCATAGTTCGTATTTTCAATTATTCATTTCTTTGTATATTTTATAAATCGGACTTTTATATACAGAGGGTGAATCCAAAGTTGATACTTTTTTAACTATGTATAGACGTCATTAAAATAAACAACTTTTTTAAAAAATAAGAGACACAATTATTTATTCCAAAATGTATTTAATACAGTTTTGTCTAATTTACATAATGTGTAGAACTTTTGTCAATAAAATTAAATATTGGCCTCTGTAATAATCATTTCTGCAATGTTGTCGACAATGTTGACTTTGACTTATCCCACCTGATTTGTAATGACCCGCTATAATATGTGTTCATCTAAACACACTATTCAATTTTCCATAAATACTGATCAATTATTCACTAGGTACTTCAGATAAACAAACAAAATCAGATCACAACACGACTGAGTTACAATATCCAGGACACGATTCATACATAAAAAATACGAAAAAAATTATAAAAACAGCTCAACTTTTAATGCAGGTCGGCGGCTCGGATTTAATTTTTTTAACTTTTTTATCTCTCAGTTTTGATTTGGTTTTAAGAAAGTTATTTGAAAAGTTATTTGAAAAAGTTATTTGAAAAAGTTATTTGAAAAAGTTATTTGAAAAAGTTATTTGAAAAAGTTATTTGAAAAAGTTATTTGAAAAAGTTATTTGAAAAAGTTATTTGAAAAAGTTATTTGAAAAAGTTATTTGAAAAAGTTATTTGAAAAAGTTATTTGAAAAAGTTATTTGAAAAAGTAATTTGAAAAAGTTATTTGAAAAAGTTATTTGAAAAAGTTATTTGAAAAAGTTATTTGAAAAAGTTATTTGAAAAAGTTATTTGAAAAAGTTATTTGAAAAAGTTATTTGAAAAAGTTATTTGAAAAAGTTATTTGAAAAAGTTAAGTTATTTGAAAAAGTTATT